AGTGCACCAGTCCATATCTGAAACTATGCATCTATCTAAAACTGATATTTTGTAAAATTGGCAAATGCAACAAGATGCTTCATTCAAGAAACTCCTGATATACAGACCTGGCAGTAGACTTGGCAGGGACACAAGAAACCCCTGATATACAGACCTGACAGTAGACTTGGCAGGGACACAAGAAAATCCTGATATACAGACCTGACAGTAGACTTGGCAGGGACACATCTTAACTGCTTAGTAGCTACAGTAGTCTTTGGATCATTTCTTCAAAGTGGAATGTGGATGTCCTCTATAAAGAAGCTTAGATTTCCTTTTGGGTATAATTTGACTGCACAGCAGATAGCACTATAAAGATGGGGTTTCTTTATAAATATGTGGCCCTCCAAGCTACAGTTGATAGTCATTTTTTTCCCGTCCTGTTCTTTTCTAAATCTGAAACATATTTGTAATAATTAATATAGGTTTTGTCAAATTGTACCATCAAATACTAAGCAATACTTATTTCTGTTTGAGTAATTTCTGAAGGTTTAAGTATTAACACCTGAGAAAGGTCAGTGAACCTGTTTAATACTGTATTTATCCGACAGTAAGCCGGCCATGCTTGGAAATAAGCTTACCAATATATATTGCAGTTAGGAAGAAGTGCCAACAAAAGCTTTACAATCATCCTGTGATAAGCCCATCCCCTTACTTTCTGTCAGAGCTTATGTGTTTGGCTGACCAGTGAAAATGTGGGCTTGTTGCAGGATATATATACAGTATATATATCTGATTTATGTACGGGATCAAATTTGCTTTTGTAACAAAGTTAAAACCATTATAAGTTTTGGTATCAAATCAGACCTTAATGAGTATACTAAACTAATAAACAGCCAGAATTTGTAGAATTAGATATATCATTCTAAATAATATTTACTTTATTAATCCCAATGGGATTAACTTGAACAGCCCTCCTCTGTTCTAAAGTACTAGGTATATTGTCTTGATAAACTGTGTTAATTTGTTTCCTTTGTCAGTTCTAGGTCAGGTCATGTACCACCAAGTCTCATTGCTCTGCCGTTATTAAATTGATTTTTGATTACATACCTGGAATTATAGAATTGACGTAGTTATCTTTAATCCAATTTGAATGTGTACAAGTTTGCCACAAATATGTTAAAAATCTTTTTGAATTATTTTTGGTTATTTATAAAAAAAATCATTGAACAATCATGTCTGATATACATTGAGGCATTGTAAAATATACTACACCCGGCAATAAGGTATGTGCATTGGATATTTTCAATTGAATCTTAGACCATCAGTTAGTGGACACAATATACAATGTACAGCTACATTGACATTGTCAACTTTAATCATTAATACTAAAGATTGGTATGCGTCAGACAAAGACACCGGCAGTCAAGAAAAACACAAACATTTATAATACACAAAATAACACATCCACAATGTGTACAGATAATAAATTTCCTAAATAAGCATTAATTCTTTTATCGGGAATAATTCCTTATTCATCAGAACATATTTCAGAAACAAATCTGGAGACAAGAAAACGCTCGGCTGTAATTTCAGATTTGATGGTATTATAAATTGAACAATACGCTGTATTTTGTTGTATTTATTCAGCTGTACAATACACTGTATTTAATAACATCTTATTACTGAATTACCTTGATTATTTAATATGACTATGTTGGTGTTTTTTCCTGTAGGGTGTTTTTAGTAGGACAAATCCACCAATCAATATTCTAATGAAAAGTATACATGGATTTTCGAACCATACTATGAGTAGCATATGTTATGGTATATAACTAGCGTCAACATTATTTGGATATTGATATCTTGTATACGTCTAGCTGTAGTGTCAACGTAATTGTGATATCGGTACATCGTAGGGTTAATCCATTGCTGTCCCCATTCCTCCAGGGGTACATGTGATTTATATATACATGTATATAGTTCTCCGTTATTGATAGACAGAAAGCTGCCGTCAACATAACTCTGTAATTACAGATGAATTTGTTGGGACCTCAACTGTATTTGAGATAATCTGAATTCATGTTACATTACCTGGTATGTGTCAGTTGGGACCTAAAATTTGAAAAATACCTTAGCCCTCGGTTAGCTTCTTGCTTTTGATAAATACTTAATAAGCAGTCAATGCTGGTTTCTGTTTTCTGTTTGTAGTTGTAATTATGTTTCTTGTCACTAACTAGCCATGCTTAGACATTAAATAGCAACTGCTAACAAAAGTTAGACTAAAATAAGAGAAAACATTGGATTTGGAACTAAATTGAAGATGCCAATTAAAGATTTAACCCTTCAGATGTTTAAAAAAGTTTCATGTACATGTATCAAGTTTGACTACAAGTAAATTAAAATTAAAATCTTTTGAATGTACTCCTGATCATTATGTACTTTCCACAATCTGATCAGAATATTTACTGATTATGAACTGGTTCAGAGCTACTGCGAGTGTACCTTTTTTAAAGAGGTAAGCTGTCTGTCATTCGAAATATTTAACTCTGTATGAGCTAGCAATATTACAGGATTTAAGGAAAAATCAACATTTGTACATATGTTATGGTAGAAACTGAATATTATAACAAGTGTGAGAAAATGTTGGGGAAATTAATTAAAGTTGCTATTTGGAACATTTTCAAATCTTATGTTATGTTTTACTATATTATACAAACATATATTGATTATGTCTATTCTACCACATCAAACTTCTGTAAGTGAGGACTTCTGTAACTTCTGTAAGTGAGGACTTCTGTAACTTCTGTAAGTGAGGACTTCTGTAACTTCTATAAGTGAGGACTTCTGTAAGTGAGGATCTGTAACTTCTGTAAGGTGTGAGGACTTCTGTAAGTGAGGACTTCTGTAAGTGAGGACTTAGGACTTCTGTAAGTGAGGACTTCTGTAACTTCTGTAAGGTGTGAGGACTTCTGTAACTTCTGTAAGTGAGGACTTCTGTAAGTGAGGACTTCTGTAAGTGAGGTGAGGACTTCTGTAACTTCTGTAAGGTGTGAGGACTTCTGTAACTTCTGTAAGTGAGGACTTATGGCTGTGTAACATGTATGTTTGTAGAAACAATCATATATAAGCATGTGTTTGTGTAAGGTCACTGAACAAAGCAAACTTGTCCAAGACCAGTACCACACTAGATCACTCGTTTATACCTGCGATACAGGGGAGACATTTGGAAAAGCATTGCATTAAACATACACATACATGTCTATTGTCCAATAATACATCATTGTTAACTTATGAAAAGTGTCATTACATGGTGGGTGTGGTAGGTTGGTAGGTAAAACCACACAAGCAATCACTTTAATCACAGTTATATGTTATTGCTATAGGTAAAGTCATGAGTTCATTTAGAGAACTCCAAATTCCAGCTTTTGCAAAGTTTTCCAAGTTAAGGATCCCTGTCCCACTGCACTGCAGTTTTTTAGGTCACCTGAGACAAAGTCTCAAGTGACCTATTGCGATCGCCTTTTGTCCGTCGTCGTCCGTCGTGCGTCCGTAAACAATTTACATTTTCGACTTCTTCTCCAAAACCCCTGAACCAATTTCAATGAAATTTTGCAGGGACCTTCCATGGACAAAGGTCAACAAAA